AACATTTTGGCACAGTTTAGCTATGCTGCTAGAAATTGTTTGGGCTTTGCTGCTCTGGCAGTCGCAGCGTTACATTTAAGATCCTATTAATTACTAGGCTCTTATTATCGTATTACTGTAGCATCTAGAAGCCTTCATCATCCACCAGGACCCAACCGTGCAATGCACAGAACAATAAGACAGCCCCTTCCCCGAGGAGCTTACAAATGCAGTATAAGATGAGAGACAACAGGTGATACAATACATGAGACAATATTGGTCAGCATGAGAAGCAATGTTTTCAGCACATCAGCAGTCTAGCCGTTGCTAAGTTCTCTGTAGCCCTCGTGGCTAAGAAGAGTTAAGGAGGATAACGAGGTAGCTCTATGGATGTTTACAGGAAGCACCACTTAAGGATGAGGGGCTGCGTGGGAAAAAGCATGAAGGTGTTTGAAAATGTAACACCTGCACAATGGAGGCTGGCATTACGGGTGTCCGAGGTGAGCACCGACAGCTTGATACTGACTGAGAGATGACAGGTAGAGTGGGGACTGACTGCGAAGGGCCTCGAGAGTGAAAACAAGCAGCTTATGTTTGATGTAATGAAGAAGGGGAAGCCAGTGGCGCAACTCAGAAAGAGGGTGACATGGCCAAACTGACACAGGAAGAAAAAGATCTAACGTCTTCCCTCCCACCCCCACTAGGAACAAGCATGTGAGATTAGGGGAGCGGAGGCAACAAGAAAACTGCATTGGGGAGAAGCTAAATTTCCACCTGGCTCCTCTTCCGCTAGCGCTGCCGTTTCCCCAAGAGGGGAGAGCTCCCCCACCTCGCCTGCTCCCTGCAGCAGCCCGGCTCCACCCTGCCACCCGTCGGCTTCTGGCCCGGGATAGCCACACAGTGACTCCCACACATCGCAGCACACAACAGCGACACTGCTGGAGGAGCAGAGCCCAGTGCCACGGGCACAGCTCAGGGGGCTGGAGGAAGAAGAGCAGAAAGGAGGGATTCATAGCGGGGACACCGCCGGGGGAGGGGGGGGAAGCGCGCACAGGGACGGGGCGCGCCCCCAGCGGGGACACGGGCGGGGACGGGGCGCGCCCCGAGGCGGGACGACC